ATCTAAGAGGTGAAATTACTCACCACAAATTATATATAGAATTGTAGTAACATACGAAACAACATTAAGTAATACGCCGTTAATTTTGGGCAGCAAACCTGAGTATGCATGTGAACCAAACTTTAAATTTTGAAGTGAGATATTTTGATAAATAATTTTTGTACGGCATTCTTAAAATAATATAGGCCAAAAAAAAATAATCATTTAGAACATAGTGTCATACAAAACTAACGGTACCGGAAGCCAGGTTAATTTTTTATTTTTAGCCAATTCCGCCATGATTTTTAGTCATTTAATACTGTGCGGTGTTTACTTTATTTTATGGCGATAACTACGTAGTTTCATTTTTCAGCAACGCCGTACATATTTATCGGTTCAGGTGTTAAAAAACCCAACACTTAACTGAAATTAAGTGATATATATATATAGTTTAGGTGATTTTACACAACATATTATTTAATGATTTTACTTTAACACCATGAAAGAATGAAATATTATACATATGACTCGCGCAGGAAAATTAATTTCCTCTGGAGGGCAAATTTTTTTAGTGAAAAAATGTGTAACTATACGGCATTTGCATTGTTCGATATTTTGTAATACCGAACATATTTAAGTGTATAGAGGAGAAAAACAAGGGACCCACCTTCCTCTAACAGACTCGTACGATGCAAAACCATTGCAAAATATACGGCATTGATGTTAACGTTAACAAAATTGTTTTAGTTAAATGTTATTTAAAAATATTTCAAATGTAAAATCAATAAAAACTAAAAAAACAAAAGTTGCAATTATTATTGGTGGTCAAATTCCCTTATATTTCTAAATTAAATTTACTGCTTCTAAATCCCATATGCCCTAAAACCTACCGAAGAGAAATGAAGACGAGACTGTTACAATACGTCATATTCGTCTTTTCGAAAGCAATTTGTCATATTAATCTTTTCATGTTGATTCTGTCTGTATACTATTAAGAGTTCAAAAACATTTATTAAAATTGACGAAAGATATGATAACTTTCTTACATTCATGTTTTTTAAAATTTGCCTTCTACCAAACTTTCGTAAAAAACATTAAACTTTTATATATTTTTGTTATAGAAAAATACTATTAGTTAGGGGAGATGATAGTCAAAAACTGAATCACCAGTTGCCTGTATTGCCCCAAAATCGATCATATAAAATATCTTCCAATATTCATAAGAATTTCATTAATTTAAATTCATTTTCCATCTCACATACACGGCACTGTAATTTTAAATCATTATTTTATGTTTCGGATATATTGTTGCATATGCCGTACAGAAATTAATAAACTTAATTGCCAGTAAAAATGTCGCCAAAATCCTGTTAGTTGACAAAATTGCTTAAAATAAAATTGTACGGCATGAGTTTTTCCTTTTAGTTTTGAAGAATTAAAAAAAATTATTAGTGATGTACATAAATTTACAAGTTTCAGAGAATTTTAAAATTCTTGGCAAAAGAGCGAATATAAAAATTGAAGATGAAAAATTAGTGGCTGATTTTAGGTATCAAGGAAATCAAATAAATTAGGATGGAAGGAGCAGTAGGGATATAAAGCAGAGGATAGCACAGGCTAGTCATCTTCAATAAAATGAAGTCACTTCTATGTTCGCGAACGGTTACTTTAGAAATTCGAAAAAGATTGTTAAAAGAGTATGTTTGCAGCACGACAGTGTACGGGTGCGAAACATGGACAGTGGGCGCGGCGGAAAAGGTTAGAAGCGTTCGAAATGTCAGGCGAATAATGAGGATACCGTGGGTAGAGAAGGTTAGAAATGAAGAGGTATTAGAAAGAATAGGAAAACAGAGGACTCTATGGAAGTCAATAAGAAATAGACGAGATAGGTTAGTAGGACACCTTCCCAGGCATGAAGGTCCAGTCAGAGACATATTAGAGGCAGAAACGGAAGTTAGGAGGGGTAAAGGTAGACCTAGATCAGATTACTGTTCGCAAATATTGTTGTTCGGAAAGTCATTTCGTTTTTTCCCGACAGAGGATTTAATTGTATTCTTTTGCACCCAACTTCACATTTAAGCCGTATAATTTTTATATGCTTTGAGAGCTCATATAGCAAGGCTTGTGTGTGAAAAATTCCAATTAATTCTACGCAGTAGTTTTTGGTTGGTGCCCTTTTAAATATGGAGAGCGATAAGCAGCATTTTCGACATATCTTACTGTTTTACTACAGAAAGGGTAAAAATGCTGTTCAAGCCAGAAAGAAATTGACTGATGTGTATGGAGAAGGTGTGTTGACAGTACGCCAGTGCCAGAACTGGTTCGCTAAATTTCGATCCGGCAATTTTGATGTCGAAGATGCACCACGTTCGGGAAGGCCGGTTGAAGCTGATAAAGACGCGATAAAGGCATTAGTTGATGTGAACCGGCGAATAACAACACGTGAGATCGGATTGAGGTTAAATTTATCAAATTCAACAGTTTATGACCACTTGAAAGGCCTGGGATTATCCTCGAAGCTCGATGTATGGGTTCCCCATGTTCTCACAGAGAGAAATCTGTGTCGCCGCATTGACGTCTGCGATTCGCTTCTCAAACGTCACGAAAATGATCCGTTTTTGAAGCGCATCATCACTGGGGACGAAAAATGGGTTGTATACAACAACGTCAAACGCAAGAGGTCATGGAGCAAAAAAGATGAACCGGCTCAAACCATTTCCAAAGCCGATATTCACCAAAAAAAGGTGATGCTGTCTGTTTGGTGGGATTTTAAAGGAATCGTTTTTTTTGAGCTTTTACCGGATAACACAACGATTAATTCGGAAGTCTACTGTCATCAGCTGGACAAACTGAATGATGCACTTCAACAGAAAAGGTCAGAACTAATCAACAGGAAAGGTGTAGTGTTTCACCAAGACAACGCGAGACCTCACACAAGTTTGGTCACTCGCCAAAAGCTTTTACAGCTTGAATGGGATACAATGCTACACCCACCATATTCTCCAGACCTGGCACCATCGGATTATTATTTGTTCCGGTCACTCCAAAATTTTTTAGACGGTAAAACCTTCACCTCAAATGAGGAGGTCAAAAACCTCCTCGATCAGTTTTTTGCCAGCAAAGACCAAAAATTTTATGAGCGTGGAATTATGCTACTACCAGAAAGATGGCAAAAGGTGTTGGACCAGAACGGTCAATATATAATTTAATAAAGTATTTGTTTATTATAGGAAAACTGTCTTTCATTTCCACAAAAAAAAAACGAAATGACTTTCCGAACAACCCTATAGTTAAGGATATGGGTTGTTCTAGTTTCAGGGAAATGCGAAAGAGTGAAGGTGCGTGTCCAGCCAGTCTTTGGACTAAGGACCATTATGATTATTATTTCTTAATATTTTAATTTAGTTTCAATAAATATAACTGGCCATGAGCTGCAACAACAAAATTTAAATCATATTATATTGAAACACTGGTTGCCGTTGTACAGGAATTTGACTTTAAGACCAAAAACGTATGATTCAACTCCCAAATGCAGACAATTGTTTATTTATGTTTATTTGAACCATAATTTTTAAACAGCATAATATTAAATTATTTTGTTTAATATTATGAAGCACTAAATATGTACGGCGTTGCTGAAAAATAAATCTATGTAATAAGCGCCATAAAGTAATGCAAACGCCGAACAGTATTAAATGACTAAAAAGCATGGTGAAATAGGCTAAAAGTAAAAAAATAACCTGACTTCCGGTAATGTTAGTTTTGTACGCCACTATGTTCGAAATGATTATTTTCCTTTGACCGATACAATTTTTAAAGACGCCGTACAAAAGTAAATTATCAAAATATCCCATTTCAAAACTTAAAATTTGGTTCGCCTACATACTTAGGTGCACCGCCCAAAATTGACGGCATGTTGCTTAAAGTTGTTGTCTCGTATGGTACTACGATCCTGCATATAATATATAGCGAGTAATTTCATCCCTTGCATTTTTGGTACGGGTTACGATAGTTAATACACGGGGTGTACATCAGTGCGATATCGGACGATACCTCCTTACAGAATATTAGAATGATGAATTAAATGCGAAATTGCTAATGCTTTAAAAGGCATAACCTACATTTTTTTTGCATATACTTAGTGCTTATTTAATGAGATATGAGGTAAAAGTTCATTTTAACACCATATATTTTTCAACATTTTTGAATTTCTTTAAGAATTCTACATACTTTTTGGTAAGCAAAAATCCATTTTGAATGCAAAAATACTTTGCACGAATCTAGCAGATTGACAGCGCCAAAGCAATTTGTTTTATTTTTATTCATTTTTATTTCCATGGCTAACTTAGCAAAATTTGTAGAAAGTTTAAGCCCATAGCTCACAACTATGTATTACACAAAAGTTTATTATTTGGCTTTACACTAAAAAAAATATAGGTCACTGCATTAAAAGAAAAATGAGAAATAGCTGTTTCCAGTTTTGACCTCTATGTGCAGTATTGCAAACACACTTTAAAATGTTATAGAGGCATAAAGTAAGTGAAGCTACACACTTATAATTTGCAAAATACTTGGATAGTAGTCTCAAATAAACTAAATATGTTTGATTTTATTGACACATGCATACTTACAGCAACTTTTTTAAAAAATACTATCTCCAAAACAGTTGATTTTTACCATCGGCAATATTCTCCAAAAACTATGTACAATTCTTAGGGAAATTCAAAAATGTAATAAAATATGGGGTGTTCCATTTTAAAATGACCAACATTTACCTCATCTTGCATTTAATGAGCACCCTGTATATGCAAAAATATTCCTAGGTTATACCATTTAAATCATCAAGCAATTTAATATTTTTTTCTATTGTGTAAGGGGATATCACCCGATGTCACACTAATGTATACCTACCAATCTTTCATAAATTACATATAAGGGCTAATCAGAAGAGCTGCCAGTAATTTACAACAAATGTTATTTCTGAAATGTAAAATATTAAAAGATAATACATATTAAATTACCTTAAAAACCTCAGCCAATGCTATAGCTCCATCATTTTCAAGTCTATTCCTTCCAGCAACAAAAACTTTAAGAGCTAATGGTTTGCCTTCATTTTTACTGGAATTATAGCAATCTAGCAATGCAGTAGCTAATAATTTACCACCTGTTATTCCAAGACCATTATTATTTAACCTTAATTCTTCCAGTCCAAAACAAGAAGAACTTCTTAGTAAAGAAGCTAAACCTTCTACACCAATTGGACCAAAAGCATTATCACTTAGATCTAACTCAATGAGCCTAGCACCAGCAGTCACTAAACTGCTGCCTAAATATTCCTAAAATATTTTAATATAGAACAATTTTGTTATTAAGTCATTCCAAATATAGTGTTAATTCAATTTAAATTTACACCTACCAGTGCTCTTGGTATTTCTGTCTTCATTCGACCTGTAAACATATCCTTCCATAGAGCCCTTTTAAATTCAGGATGAGTTTCTAATGACTTTGCAATAGCTTGAGATGCTTGAACTCCCAAAGTGTTTCCTTCAAGATTTAAAAACTCCAAAGTCTTGCAACGTTCAATTGATTCCACAACGCTTTTTGCTAAAACATATTTTCTAAATACCTATCAGTTTTTTAATAAAATGTAACACTTACCATCTTCTTGTGTATCCAATTTTAACGACTTCCCTTTGAAACTAACTCCATTTATTGATGCACTTGCTGTTTCAAATGAAGTCGTTAAATCATCTAAATTACTAGAAGTCATTTCAGCTAAAATTTAATCATCTAAAACTTAATTCCAGTACAAACGCCACAGACGATTAAAAATAAAGAATGCCTGTAACTTCACCATAACCTCACCTATTTTAAGCGCCTGCAAGCATAGATAAGTATTATTATGTATCATATATTAACACTCGCGGATGTTGCGCCCTCTGACAAGGAGGCGGCCGAACTAAAGTAAAAGACCGGCAATTTAAATGGGTTCATTGTTTTTTTTTGTTATGTTTTAAAGGAAAATGAAGGATTAAGTGAAAAATCATCAAGTTGTCTGTTAAGAAGGTTTTATATTACGAATTTGTGTATCTATAGTGAGAACGTCAGATGCATAGAACATATTTTTATCAACTTCTCAATCATGGGAAAGTTAGTGCAATGGGTACGAAAATCAAAATCGTAGTTTTCAACATACTTTTAAGATTTGAAAATCCACCTAATTTTGAGATATATGTTTGCGTGCGTGCGTGCGTACCACCATGTCTGGTAATAACCATTTTTTCAGGTGCTGATTAAAGCGTATTAATAACAATAATATGATCTGAACAGAATTATTTTAACATTCGGATAAGAAATTTGTTTTGTATTTACAAAATGACTGCATCAAAGTAGATTTGGGAATTTACCTACCTTCTTTATAACAATCAAACATTGTCATGTATTACTATACTGTAATACTATTAATAATTGAATATTGTTAACAACGATAAGTGTATTATTGTTCGTAGAAATTAAACATTAATATTTACAATCAAGAAACACACGCTTCTCAAAAATAATTTAAACATCTTTTGTATTATTTTTTTTTGTTGTTGTTACTGTTTGAATTAAAAAACTATTGCTAAAAATAAATTCATAACTTCAATTGCGAACATGATGCTTTTAACAAAACAAATATTAAAACGGAAAAATTATTTTAACACAACAAAAGGATTCCCTGTTCTCAAAAGCTGCACGCACGAAAAAACATGACTCATGCGGCGTTACCTCGCTCTGAGGCGTTCCATTTAAGGCTTGAAGTGCAAGCGAGAGCGCCAAACGAGCGACAAAGAGGCACAATCGGCATCCGCGTTCGGCAGCGTTCGACATCTGTCTCTCTCCTACTTGAGTGAGCGATGCGTCTTCGTGGACAGCTGCTATACAATAATACATTTACATGTTTTCGTCAAGTATGAAGTGCAGTGAAAAATGAATGTGGTGTCAATTGTTTATAGCAACGATAATTGCGGCGATAAAGGTAATGATTCTTTCGATATTAAATATATGTTCAGTGATATATTGTCGAATTGAAGCTAGAGTTACAAAAATTTTAATGATGTTTAAAAGTTGTAAATAAAAGTTGTAAAACAATTGCTCAAAGCACATTCATACTTGTAAAAACTATGTACATTGGAAAAAAA